AAGAGAACATATTAAAAAAAGAAGTAGAGCAGCTTAGATGTTTAGATACCTCCCCTGGACCAGAGAAGGCCAAGCATTCTTACATTTTCTTTATCAAGTACCTTACTTTGTCACCCTCTGTCCCTAAAGCATTTCTGATAAATGAAGATAATGAGAAAAAAAATTTATACCCTTCCTTTCTCCTCCGTTCCCAAAGGATTTTGATGTATGCATGTATTCTTTTCACCTTCAAATTACCAGCCTTGTAAAACAAAACTGCATTTCCTTAAAGACAATTTGCCAGGCCCTCAAAGCTGATAATTGACTCTCTTATCTTTCAAAAAACTCGCTGTTGTTTTCACTTGGGTAAGCTACTGTGTGGTTTCCATGTTTGTTCTTCACATAAACCTTGGTGGATTTTAGATCAACAGAGCCTTGCAGAAAACTGATAAAACAGTACACAATATTTTCACTGTATGATTCCCTAATGCTTTTTTTTTTTTTTTTTCAGCTTGTGTCCTTGATTTGTATTTTTGGTTTGTGGGGTTTGTTTTGGATGTGGGTAAAAAGTACCAAAAATTACTTCCATGTAGGAACTAGGGAATGGAAAGAGGCCATCAGGAATCATCCCATGTCATGTCACATTATACCTTTTATAAATGCAACAACCTGCTTGTTAGAAGAAGTTTCTTTTGCTATTATTTTTTTTTAATCGTTTTCTTTCCTATTTTTCCTGAGCAAGTTTTTTCCTAATATAAGCTAGATAGATTTTCCTAATATAAGTTAGATAGAAATTTTATTCCAATTTCTAAGCTCCATTTGTCCGTGTGCATTAGATTTGGCTCTTCCACATACACAAGAGCAGTGACAGGTGTCGTGATGCTACAGGCTCCCCAGGGCCTGGGGTGCTGGTTGCGGTGGAGTGTCCCTATGGGGCTCTGTCAGGGCAGGGCCTGGCAGCCAGGACTCATCCCAGTCCCCAGCCAGGAGCCAGGCAGCCGGGGGACACCGGGACAGCTCCAGCCCTGGGCACTGGGCACCTCCCTGGCCACGGGCTGAGGCTGGGCCAAGCATCAGCCTGTGAATCCCCAGCTCAGTATGGCTCCTGGCCAGGGCAGGCAGGGCTGTGAGAGGGTGGGATCTCAGGCAAAAGCAGCTCCCACGGGCCTGTGAGCCTTTCCCCACTATCACCAGTGGGACAAGGCAGCCCTTGCTGCTCCATCCCTGGCTGGCACCAGGCAGCCCAGGGCAGCCCAACCTGCAGAGGAGGGGATGCCTTCAGGCCCTTACAGCCACTGTCAGCAACTATTTTCCACCCTGTTGTCCATCAACCCCACCATAAAGTGTGCTTGTAACCATGTCTTTTCTCAGTTTTTTCAGTAGGTTACTTAAGTCAAATTCATATGCTCAGAGATTCTTAATTTCTTTGACCATCTGAGTGGCCCTCCAGAGACCTGCTGCTGTAGTTTCAGCTCATCATACATGGGTGACTGGAGCAGATCCACATAGGACAACACTCACCACAGCCTTATGCAAGATCCTAGCACTTACCCCCTCAGACACCACCCATCAAGTTCCCAAATTATGTAGTTCCCTCCTGGTAGCTCATGGACCTCTTGTGACCAGCTAGTATGCCTCGCTCCTTCACACCCGTTTCCAGCTCATGAGCTCTCAGTTACTGAATTTAATCCTGGTTTTACTTCTGTGATTCTCAGGGTTATCATGTTGTTCCATTTTCCTTCTCTGTCCTAACTCCATCTCCCAGCTCCATGCCCTCAGCAAATTTTATCAGCACGTTTCCTAGTATCTATGGCACGGAGGAGTGAACCTCACCCAGTAATTCAGGTAACATGCTTTTATTGCAGCCTGGGGCCAATTTAACCATTGGCCACCATTTTAACTGTTCTTTTAAGAATGTCTATAAACCAATATGAATAAACCAAATTATTACATCCATACATGGTTAACAGCTATACGTATCAGAGCTATACAAATGCTCATGAACAGAAAGAGCTTCAGCAGTTCCCATCTTCTAAGGTCTTGCTTCATTTAGGTCAGGCACAGGGTAATAGCAAGCCTTACCCAGACTTTAATTTTTCTGCACTTGGAATGACTTTATGCTTTTCTACCACTGTTGGAAGGTAAGCGCTTCACTAGGTGATCTTACTTCACTTCTGCATCTTACTGCCATGTTACACTTTCCTTTCCTGATCTGCCTAAACAGATTTTGCCATGAAAATCAATCTCAGTCTATCTAAACCACAAACATAAAGAAGTCAGAAGGACGCTCCCATCTGTGGTTGGAATGATTCAGTTGTCCAGCCAGGCACTGGCCAAGATCTCCCAAATTTCTCCTGTATTACATTCCTCCTTATGATCTCCCACATGATTTCACATATTTCTCTTGTATTGTTTACGCCCTTGATCATCCCGTTGCACTGGGGAGCAGGAGGGTCATCAGCACTCGGTTACCTCTGTGTGTGTGTGTGTGTGTGTGTGTGTGTGTGTGTGTGTGTGTCTGTGTGTCTGTCTGTGTGTCTGTGTGTCTGTGTCTGTGTGTGTCTGTCTGTGTGTCTGTGTCTGTGTCTGTGTCTGTGTGTGTGTCTGTGTGTCTGTGTCTGTGTCTGTGTGTCTGTGTCTGTGTCTGTGTGTGTGTCTGTGTGTCTGTGTGTCTGTGTGTGTGTCTGTGTGTCTGTGTCTGTGTGTGTGTCTGTGTGTGTGTCTGTGTGTCTGTGTCTGTGTGTGTGTCTGTGTGTCTGTGTCTGTGTCTGTGTGTGTGTGTCTGTGTGTCTGTGTCTGTGTCTGTGTGTCTGTGTGTCTGTGTGTGTGTCTGTGTGTGTGTCTGTGTGTGTGTCTGTGTGTGTGTCTGTGTGTCTGTGTCTGT